TTTTCGATATTCACGTCTATCGGTTGAAAGTACGTCCATGACATGTAGGTATCATAGATGGCGGTGTTGGGCTCCTGGAACGGGGATGAGGAGCGGACACCACGCTCGTTCATGGGGAAGGCGTTCTGGATGTCACATGTGTTCATGCACTCACCGCCAGTTGAGAAAGTGGGGCCGTTGCCTACCAACGCCTTGCGTGTGGCGGCCAAAGCAAACATCGGCGTCTTCCGCATCATTTTTGCTTAAAACTTGGCACTTATTTTTTTTATTTTTTATTTTATTTTTAAGTGTAAAAAAAAAAAAAAAAAAAAAAAAAAAAAAAGAAAAAACAACAACAACACAACAGTGAATAATCTTCTGGGCCACTGACCGGATCCTGAAATCATCTCAGGAAACCAAACAAGAAGGGAAAAGGGGTAATGCAGAGGCAGTTCATTGCCTCAATGTTTTCTTCTGATTAAACATATATAGAATAATCTTCTGGGCAGCTGGCCGGATCCTGAAATAATCTATGGAAACCAAACAAGTTAGGAAAAAAGGTTCGTTAGTTAATTGCTTCAATGTTTTCTTTTCATTCAATATATATATATAAATTCTGTGGACCACTAGCATGGTCCTTAGTCCTCAGTTAGGATTTACATATTATTACTTACGAAGTGGCAGACTTTGGGGTCCTCCAACCACAAGACCCCGCCGCGTGGTGGGAATCAAAAGGGGGTGGGTGGGATGGCAAAATAAAAACAAATATTATCTGGCCTCTATCGGCTCCCTGCCCCTACAAAGTCGCGTTCTTCCCAAAAGATTCATACGGCAGAAAAGTATCATAAAGAATGTCTGCATTTATCAGGATGTACATTCATTAATTAAGTTAGCCAGCTCTCCCGCGATCATTCTTTTCACAAGCTCCTATTCTTTTGACCGTTCGACTGACCTTTTGTACTCAGGTAGGATCCGAAATATTATTACCTACGAAGTGGCAGAATTTGGGGTCCTCCAACCACAAGACCTCGCCGCTCCGCTTCGCAAGTTCCACCCCTTCACCAAACCCTGAAGTGTGAAACACGACCGCGTGACATGCCGTCTGCGGGGCTGTCCGCTGGCCGTACGTAAGCAAAGAATGCCTGTGTTCCGCGAGAGTCCAAAAACTCATATATCCGTTGCGGCTCCCACATCATGGCGTGTGTTTCCGAGCTACCTTTATTCGCCGCTCCTTGCAGCGAAGTGTTGTCCACCCAAACGTCCATGGTGGATGGCAAGATGGCGGAAAATGCCGATAAGGCCAAGCGTACCGCGCGCACCTCGGCCTGCATGATAAGAAAAGACTTCCTCTCCCATTCCCTTCCGGCAATTATAACGTCGCCGGAGTCTGGAATGAAAAAAGCTACACTTCCCTGGAGCGATGCATCCGCGATGATGGCGGCCGATGCCTTTTCCGTGGGATTGATGATTCGCTTGCGATTGTTCTCGATGGTGTGTCGTAACCTCTCGCCCAAACCAGCCACTGGCGGCGGAAGGTTCGCCGGGGATTTCGCCTGCACAATCACCCAGTTATGTGCGGATAATCGGCGTCGCACTGCCCTGATGAAAGAGTGGTGGTCACATAAACGCATGCCTAAAATGGCAGCCAAATATAAAAAGCGTGACGCCACAACCTCCATTTCCGCGATGGTTAAAGAATTGAGCGACGGCACGGCGCATACAGAGCGGAAAAACTTGTCACTCAGAAATACCGCACGGTGAGTGTGACCAAACTGCACCCCAGGAAGATGTACTACATGGCGCCAGATTCGTGGTCCTCCCCCATCGTGGCGCGACGGCCGTCCGCATTACGAAGCACCCGGGCTTCCCACAATGTCGCATCGCTTTTCGACTCTGTGATGCGTATATTACCGATCCATACGTCGACACGCACCAATGGAGCTGCAGCCCAAAGGAAGTGAGCCACCGTCGTCACCACCGCAATTGCCGAGGTAATAACGATCTGGAGAATTTCCGGGCTGGCTTTGTACCCCATAGGGAGCCGTGTCAGCTCCACCAGCGTGCCGACCTCCACGCGGCATCAAAAGAGATGCCGAGTCTCCCGCGGTAAAGAAACTCGGGAAAAGGATGTTTTTAATTCCAGGCAGAAAGCGGCCTCAGCCATCACAGGTGGCAAATAATGGAAACTGTGCAAAAGAGGAGCATTCGCCCCTTAAGAGTCGTCTATTTTCTTGCCGCGTGGCCACGCAATCCATCGTCGTCGCAAACCGGCGGTTTTCTCCTCCGCAAACAAAAAGCCGTTATCCATCCGCTTGTTGTTGCAGACGAAGCGTCCTCGATTACTCCCGCTTTCTTCAATAATCGCGCGTCATAGACTGGAGTCCTCCGTGAGCTTTCACCTGATGTAAAAGAGGACGGAGGAAAAGGGGACCGCCCGACGCGTCCTCGGCGCGCGTCTCGTAATTGTAGCGGAGTGAGGATGAAAATCAGAGAAAAAGCGCTCCTCTGATTTCAACCAGGGCTCCTGCCCTTCCGAAGCTTCTCACTTCACATCAATGCGACCAGCCACAGCACCTGGGTCAGCATTGTGGTTTAGTTCCCGTAATATCGAACTGTGTTCTGGGGAAGGTCGAACGGGTCGACGTGCCTCGCCAACAGCGAGATCACGTGCGGGTCCAAATCGTGTTTCTCCACGGTTTGAGCGGCGTGCCGCAACGCACCCCGTTTTATGGAACGCGCCGTGGCACCCCAAGGAGCCAGAGCTCGCTCCAATTGGGCAGTCGTAATATTCGTGAGCTTTTCGTTTTCTTGAAGTGTCCCGCATAAATTTATAGTGTCGAACGCGTCCTGCCCTCGTATCCTGACGAACCGCAAGGCGCGGTGGGGATCCCGCCCTCACCGTCTTTGGTGCCACGGACCAATCCAAAAACTAAGCTCCCGTCCGCCTCCAGTGTGAAATTGTTGGGAGTGAAGGCCGCAATCCCAAACCAACGACTCGCTGTTATCCACGCAAGTCGAAAAACAACACGTTCCTTACAATCGGTCCGACTGCGGATAACTTGATTCATCTATTCCTCTGTCACGGGGCGCGCCTGCCTCGTCTGCCTCGTCTGCCTCGTCTACGATCGCGCCGCAACTTTTTGTAACCTCAAAGCCGCCATGCCCAGCGGGGTTCCATTCATTTGCAGCATGGACCGCAGAGTCCTGGCGTGCCGCGGTCGGGTCGATGGCGCCACGTCTAACAGTGCCATCAAAAAGGCCGCACGGCCCTCCGCGTTGATCGGCTGTTCGTGCGTGCGGCAAAAAGGTCATAAGTTGCCCAGCTAGAGACATTCTCTGCTCCCACGTTGACGGCGTCCACATTTCTCGGGCCACCTCGTTCGCCCTCCTCACGCAGCCGGCCCAAAGCGGAGACGTCGGTGATTCGTCGTACCACAGTCGAGCGTCGTTGGCGGATAAGCTCCACTGCCCTTCTCGACGAATGCGTCGGGCAATTCAAAATATCGGGTGGGACATCGGCGGCGCGGTGCGACGCCTGTGAGGATTGGTGGGAGGTGGTGGAATGAATGGGGCTGCCGTCTTCCGCTCCCATAAGCGGCGGGCAGCCCCTCTGCCGTTTTTGACGGCCGTCTGCGCTGCGAGCGATTCCTTCTGGTCGTGCTGCGTACGCTGCACATGGATGCGTCGCGTCCACAAATACGACACAATCGGCGTCGCAACGATCGTTGCTGTTGCGTGCGTAGGGGGGCGCGCAGTTCGGAGATCGGGACGCTGGACTCAGTAGT